GGAAGAAAGGAGTCAATACAGCAAAGAACAAGAACAAGTTTTGCAATACTGTGAAAAAAAAATGAAAAACTCGGAAAAAAACACAAAGTTAGACTGTTTTTTTATTATGAATTTCGTTAATTTTATGATGGGATTTTTATGGCCAATATTCGTGAACGTAAATACTGTAGCTCAATTTCTAAAAGATATATATGAATATTTAGAAAAATCAATTTTTTTACAGTTTCCATGCAGATATTATACTGTATGTTGTAAAAGTGTCCATATCTTGGCTCACAGCTGTACCATATGTTGGGGCAGATTTTTCAAAAAAATTAAACTTAGAAGAATTCTAAGTTTAATCATGTAAGTGATTCACCCAAGTTGAATCATCTGCTGTATGCATAGGGGTCCAAATTTATGCTTGTACTGTATTTTTTAATGCAATGTGTATATAACGCACAATTGCTGGCATGGGATTTATATGCCTGTCTTTGATTTGAAATGATAAAATCATTAAAATGACATAAGGTAAGAAACATACTACATTTTTTAGTTTTACTGATGGATCCATAAAAGACAATGAGCATTATACCCTGTCTATATTTATGCTTATATGGAATCGTATGGCATACAAGTGGCATACACTTGCATGTATGTATGGAAAGCATATTTCACTTTTGGTTGAACGTAAACTATTTCCTTAGTTTTGTGAAATTTCAGGAACATATTTTTCAATTCCTACAGCAGGAACATTATTGTGAATAATAATACAATAATAATGATACAAGGAATAGAGTTCTCTTGAAGTTTTTGTGGAAGTCGTAAAATTGAAGCGGTGGAAAGTGAAGTTACTCAATAGGTGGCGGGAACCATGCAGATATAGCTGTGAAACAGAAAAGCTCTCTGAAATCCCAAGATGGTGACCTAAAAATGAGGCAGGAATCCTTCACTGTTTAGTACCTTAAGCCAGGATTTAAGTCTCAAAATGCCACTACAGTAGAGTACAGTATATATAAAACACATTTTCAGTAAACGACAACTTCCTGCGCTGACATCATCATAGTTGCTCTATATATAATTGCTTACGAAGCCGGCAACACAGAGCCCTACACATACAGTTCTGTCATCACAGACAATATCAACCTCTGCGCTGCTGATGTCGACATCTCCGAAAAATATGCGAAGAACCCGGCACGCCTGTAATAAAACTCACAACAATCCCAGGGAAGAGAAATAAATAAGCAGAACAAATAAAATATCATCATTGAAAAAAAATGAACTCGGTCAATGAACGCTGGTTCCTGAGGTGTGTTTTTCCTTCCTATGACACGCTCGAAAATATACCGGCAAGCGTCATCAGAGTCAGTCGCCCCTTCAGCGTATCGTACAGTATGTACAGTACAGTACACTACAGTACGCAACAATTACGCCGTCGAACGCGGTTGTGTCTCGGCTCGACGCGGGTACGCGAACCAACGTCGTCGACACTGCCCGTCATCGACATTACATCGACGCGTCGATCCGTCGGAACAGGTAAAGCCCGTTCCGCAGCAAGGCGTTCATAAAAGCCGACTTCGGAAAGCGTTGGAGTTGGCACACACGCGTGTATGTATATGCCTCAACGTCGTGGGGCGCGACAGCAGCGTCGTCGGCGTAGATATATAGTACACCCGAGTCGGACGCATGCGCCAGTTCTGAACGCCTCCCGCCCTCATATCCGCGTCTCTCCCCCTCGCTCGGATCTGGCTTCCGCTGTTCCCTCATCCCCCTCATCTATTCTCGACTGCTCCGATTACCTATTGTTCTCCTAGCTGCAGGTCGTCGTCCTCAGCTGCTTCTCCCCCCTTTCGCTTCCTGATCTTGAGGAGTGACTCCCCTCTTGTATACAGCAGCCACTAAATCTGGGGTATTGTGCTGTTGCATGTACAGTATATATATGAGGGAAGGTTCATTTGTAGCTGAGGGTTCATCAGCAGTGAGACCCCGACGAGATGCCCACCTGATCGGTGCATCAAGAGTGTCTTTATAAGTTGCGTCTCATTTTCTTATTAGATTTACTTTATAATTGGTGTTTTATTGACAAAATATACTCACAATAATTCCATGAAAATAAAAATTGTCTCCCAATTTAAGCTGAATCCATCATTATATTTAAACACAATATGGACATTCGGGGAATTGAATACTGATACAGTACCTCTGTACAGCAGTACATAGAAATGTTGGCATTCTCTGTACAAATTACATCCAATTGAAAAAGAGAGAAGGAAGTCTTTATTATTAATTTTTATGAGAAAATTAGTGGCCCTATGTTGAATTGTCCGCATGTCAATGTGTCTGCAACTCACTGTATATATGGACAATTCAAAGTATATAGGGACACTAAAAATTGACGAAAAATTGACCCCCGACATCTAGACAATGACTCAAGATACAAACCAATTAAAAAGATGTACACTGAAGTCTACAGGAAAATGAGCTCCTAAATGAGGACATTCCCACTTAGGGACAAATAAGGTCCATGCACCAATCATGTCCACATTTCAGGGTCCCACACGGTATATGCGTTTTGTATACAGACATAAAATAAACTTGATGCATTATACAGGGTTCTATAGGGACACTGATATGATACCCTATTTTTTATGAGAGAGAACGTTGCAAGAAAGAATTTTAGGATTAAATGAACTGTTTATTGCTGATAGAAACCTGCATTTTCAACAAATTCAGCTGCTGTTGTATTTTATTGTTGTGCAGAAAAAGTCCAGGAAACTCAAAAGTGCAAACAATTTGTCATGCGCGGATGATTAATTCTTATACACCCAGGATTTATTTGAGCAGTTTTCTTAGTACAGGTTGAACTTGTTCTTCTGGGTTTTTTGGTTCTCTTTCCAATGAACAAAGGAAATCATTTTGTTCTTCATATTACAGTATAGCAATATGAGGCAGCAGGTTCAAGAAGAATATCTTAGCTGAAATGTTTAGGTTCCATATTAATGGACTTGCTGTATACTGTTTTCAGTTGGAATTTTATTGGAGCAGCTGTTTTTGAACTATAGCTTGCTTGATTTGCTGAAACAATGCAAAAGGGGCAGTAACTTCTAAATGCTTCAAGCTACTGCCTGAATTTGTTGCTATTTTTCTCTTCAAAATATTTTAAACAAGTTTGAAAAATAATACCTTTAATAGGAGTAATGCAGACAAACTAACTTGAACCTCCCTAAGACAAAAACCCCCCTAACTCAAATTTTTTCCAGGTCCCCATCTGAATCCCTTTAGAAGCAATACCTAAAAAACCTCCCTAAAAGTTGAATGGTTTTACCCTGAAACCTCCATAAGTCAAATTTTCTGTGGCTGGCCATTATTTTCTTTACCCCAAAAAAGAAAAAAACAATAAGAACATATATTAAGGTGTTTTTAAAGAGGTGAATTTTGCAAATGAACCCCTGCCTCCAAGTACAACATCCTGTGAACTTAATTAAAAAGCCATTTAAGCACCAGAATATCACCATTTACAATTTTGGGCAGTTCTTCAAAGTTTTCCAGAAAAAAGGGCTTTTTACTGTAGCTCAAACCTTTATAATTCAAAACCTCCCTCATTCAAATTTTTTTGCTGGTCCCTTGAAATTTGACTCAGAGAGGTTTGACTTGAGTATACCCTGCTTAAAAGTCATCAATATAAATCAATTGCATACTTCAAATATGAATAACTTTCCATCAAGCTCAGATGAGAACACAAAACCATGCACATTGACTAAAAGCAATGCAGAAAATGCGGCACTCTTGGTATATTAGCTGCAGATGAAAAATCAAGTCTGGATTTTAAACAAACCTCCCATGTGATCTCTTGTTCAGAAATAAGATGCATGCAGGAAATACAGTACTGTACTGTGTTAATGGTATATGCATTCATCAGTTCTTTCGCAGAAATTATCCTCTACCATGATGCTCTTCTATAGGAGGACTCCCTTAAAAATCTTGTCTAGATCAATATCATCCGTACAATGAATTTCTTTGTACAATACAGTTCTCTCTTCAAATTCTGTACATCGGGTTCTCTGGAACAATTTTGTATAGATGGGAGTCTATCTGTATATTGATGTCCTACTCGAAAAAAGTTTCGTGGTCATTTTTATATTCAAAATATTGTGATAGCAAAGTAACCTTCTTCTGAAATCTTTCTAAGTTAGTTGCAATGAGATTATTTGGCAACAAATTTATGCAAGTACCATGCGCACCTTTTCCCCTCAACAAACTGGGACAAAATATGATGAGCCTCAAAATGGAGTAAACATTTTGAGGTTACATTTAAAATAAATTTTGCGAACTCTTCCCTCAATTATATATTTGATCTGAAGTTCTCTTATTTAACGATTATAATTTACACGAGACAATCAGACAAAAACATCACTGAATTAAAATTGTATGCGGCTTTGTGTATTCAGATCTCAACCCTATGTACTTTTAAAATGCGAATTTTGTAAACTAAAAAAACGTGATATGCAGCTTAAGCAGGGATGGACTTTTCCATGAAATTTGAGCTAAAACGAAACCAACGCGTAAATCTTACTCAACGGCGAGTGACACTTGAGTAAATACAGTACCTGCACTGTACTGTACTTATTTTGGCTCCATGTTTACGGCAGCAGTTGAATTTTTCACGATATTTCAAGTAGAAGAGATTTTTGTGATTAAAACGTCCATATGTCAAATTGTTCGCATGCCCGGGCATCCATGTGTTAATTATTTGGACTCAACTCCATGGATGAAATCTTATCGTCACGCGACTCACACCAGAAAGAAAAAATAAAACCAACACATGAAAAAACGTCATGCTGGGCGCAGTGAATGAACGAAAACAAACACAACTCTCTTTCATTTTCCACGTCCCAGGTCGGAATGACGCGGAAGGATCCATATTAAGCGGCAGAATAAGATCACACAAGTGACGACGAATGCATGTACAGTATTCGTCAGCAGCAACACCCCGTTCCAAGCACGGATGAGGCTGCGGGAATTCAGCCTTGCTCTTGGCTAGCCATGTGTCGCATCAGGTTGCTCACAAACTTCTCAATCTTCCGCAGGTCATTCGAATACTCCACTTTGTACATCACGCACTGAACAAAAAGAAATAAAAGAAAGGATGACTGATTATTCAGGCTTTTCCCCCTGGGTTCGCGCGACGTTCACATATCACGCACCGACACATTCAAGAAGGTATCTGGGTTATAAAGTCTTGTTGCAACTATTACCATTACAACACATTTTTCAGTACAACAAACTTTTCCACAGGTAAAAGGTAAAATACCTTTTATACCATATGTTAGAAGAATCTCATTTTAAAAAACTACAGTGAAACCCCAAGATGCAGACATAATAGGTGCATCAAGAGTGTCCCTACATTGAATTGTCCCTGAGTCAAGTCTTGTTTTCCCATAGACTCACATTACATCATTTTTAATTGGTGTTTTATGGGAGAAATATTCTTCAGAATTTCTCAAGGAAATTTCTGGCCACTTGAATTTGAATTAGTGACTACATTTTCAACTCAATAAGAACATTTGGAGCATTGAATAGTGTATCTCTGTACAGTACTGTACATTGAAATTTTGGCATCTACAAAAATAATATTCGAGTGAAAAAAAAGTAGAATTCCCTCTATGCAGGATGTAATTTTTTGAAATTAGCTAAATGGATGGTAATTTGGTGAGAGAAATGCCCAAAAACTTTTTTAGATCAATCTTGGGGTTGGAAATATCTGTTTCTTGTAACTTGGCCTGAACTGTATTTGCAATTTTATCACAAAATGTCCCTATGTTGAGTTGAAATTTATTTGCAATTTTATCACAAAATGTCCCTATGTTGAGTCAGTGTCCTCATGTTGGGCTTTATTTATTGATTTTTTATGGGAAAATAAGTGTCCCTATGTTGAATTGTCCACAGGTCAAGGCATCCGCATGTGGGGGTCTCACTGTAATTAGTTCTTTGGCCTTATCATGTTGAAACATCCACATGTCAGATCAAGTTTTTTCATGGACCTTTTGATGGAAGCATTTTAATAACTTAGTCCATTATTTGGTGAACAATTTCAAAAAATTTCTTCAAAATTGAGATAAAGCATTGCTTAGCATAAATTTTAAGATGCCAACACTAACTATACATTAGAAAACCATGTAGAATCTGGAATTTTAGCATAAAAATGAGTCCAAATGAGAAAAAATAAGAACACAGCATCCTGCTGCACTGCCCACATAATTTGCATGTACCACCAAAAACAGTTGGCCATGGATGCATGGCTATATCCTGTCATTACATTCAACTTGGTCATTTTACTTCAAATTTACTCTGAAAAGGCATGCAGGATAGAATCTTGAAACAAAAAGTCATTGAGGCCTAGAAAAACTCATCACAAAAAATGAAATAAGTTTGTTGCATTCAGACTTGAATGAAATTCTGGCAAATGATGAGGACAGGACCTTGGAATATAGTGTTGTAAAAAGCAGAAAAATCATTCAACACATTTGTTGTCATAATCTTCTGCTGTACCAGTCACTTTTTGCCTTTCTTGGCCTTAAAAAAAACCAAATGCTCATTTGGATGTGAAAATGCCAGGCTATTGCAAAGCATTTTTCCTCAAAAAATGATTTCAGGTTTGTAAAATATATTCTCAAGACTCACCAAGACATGACACTGCAAGTATCTGTGTGCTACCAGGGGGGACTTGACATTGTTTCGAACATAACTTTCCCCAAACTCAGAGAACTTGTAAAGTAAGTAGCTTGAGTACGTGACAGAGTACAAGTTGCAGCAGATCATCAACCAATGAAAGGGTGCTTCCCTGCGCACCTTAGAATAGTAGGTGTTCATCTCATTCCTTTCCAGAGCCTCTGAACGAACTTTGATATCCTCAAACCTGTCATCCTCTGCTGGGTTTCATGAAATTCAAAAAAAAATATATATCAATAGGTGCTATACAGCAAATTGCATGTGGCAAACTGCTGATCCATGGATTGACCTGGATCATCACTGCGGAACTGGAGAAAAGTGGGTCTGTAAACATAGCTGCTTTGTGGCCCATCATCAAACTCTGTCATCCACTCCAGCATTCTGGGGTCCTTGATGGTAACAGGAACAGGGATCATACCAGGAGCTGTGTCATACTTACTACTAAATGAAGTGGCAGAGGAGGAGGATGCTGCAAAAAAATCATAAATAATTATCAGCTATACTCCTGGGGTAAATTGAGATGTTCTTCCATCTAAAACTTGTCTATAGTATATGAGTCAGTTTGCTTCCCTTTCCAATTTCCAGAAGAGTAGTCATGCAATAACAGGTAAAATGCCACATTCAACCCAATGCAACAGATAGAATTAATAGAAACCTAGTCTGTTGAATAAATGACACTTGGTCGGTCTAACATAACACTTTCAGAGCATTAATGAACTAAAAAAGTGAAGTTGAAACAGTAGATCTTGTTACAACAAACTCATATATGGGAATGACTTCAGAAAAGTTTGTTATAATGATTAAATTGTAATAGCAAGATTGTCAAAATTCTTGATTAAGAAGATTTTTCAAAATTCAACCTTCATATACTCAATATCTTCTGTTATGGCCTTTTCATGTTTTTCTATGATTAAAAACTGTCTTCAAAAAATTTCAAAACATGTACTCTGAATTTTGTGAACTAAGTTATTTTATAAACAATTCCTAAGTCTTTTTAATGTTCCAAAAAAGCTTTTTGTTGCTAAGCATCAGTAAAGGGTTTTGCAAGCACCCATATGAACCCCTTTAACATGAGTTTTGCTGGTTTCATTTTTTCCCTCTGACCCCCTTCTAAAAATTGTAATACAGTAGTATTATCATAATGAAGAGCTCCATAATCCTTATTGGAAGATTTTGAAATAAATCTGGTGTCATCCAGGTTAACATAATTGTAGTTATTATTGAACACTGTCTTGCCTAATGCACTTGCTTATTTTAGGTGTGTGCTCAAGTTTAGGAGCCAATATTATGTATAGTTCACAAAACTTATCAGTTTTCCTCAAGTTTCTCAAATTCATTAGGTGGGTAATAGTTTGACAGCATCAAAAGTTCTTAAAAGCCATCAGTTGTGTGATTTATAGGTTATATAGTGCTGTATGTGGTAATCCATTCTGCAGGAGCTCTAAGAACTCTTGAGTCACATAATTGATTAAGGGATGCCTTAAGAGATGAACCTGTGTCATACTGATGAATTCTTACTTAGTGAATGGGTAGAAGTGACTCCAGTCAGAGGATGTCTCATTTCACCTCTCTCAAAGACACCCACTAAGTTAAGGACAAGATGGAATATTCTATTTCAGTTCAGCATGCTGCATGTAGTGAGGATTGTCAATGGCTGTGACCTTCACAAGGCTGTTTGGGAGAAATGTGGGTGATTAAGAGGAGTAAGTACTATATTAATGGAAGAGGTTATTTACTCAAATTGATTCTGCTTAACTTTGTCCTTCATGTGCATACATATATATATTGTTACAATGATTCGATTTCAGAAGTTATGATTCAACATGAAGATTTATAGTTGAGTCCTGCTGAAACTTCAGCTTGTGCTTGGGGGAAAAAAGGTTCAAGTCCACAATGTACATGCCCAAAACATACTTAATCCCAACACTTCCCTTGAAGCAGAGGATATGCTGAGGACATGGAATGTCCAGTACAGTCAACCCCTGTCCAACAGCCTTAATTTGTGCAATGGACAAGTCTGTTAGACAATAAGTCCTTTTAGACAAATGCAATTATATCATAAATTTAAAATTTCAATTTTGAACTAATTTTGAACCAAAATAAGTCAGTTTGGCAGATTTTGTCTGTTGGGTGGGAGGAAAACTGCCTGCAGAGCTGGTTTGTTAGGCAAAAATCCCTTCTGCAGGAGGCTACTGTATATGTATGACAATGTGCTCAAAGACCTGCAAAATAAAAACAGGATAATTATCATTAAAGTTCTTAAGAATTTTATTGATGAATATCAAATCAGTATTAAAAACAAATTAATTTCAGTCTTAAACACATTTTAATTCTATTTTTCCATAAACATCCAGGATTCAAATTTTCTGGAGGCATTTTTGGCTATTATTTTATTGACACAGGAAGGAGAAAAATGAATAAAATTGCATCTTGATGCTTTTTCAAAAAGAAAATGAAATACTATTTGGGCAAATGAACACTTGCCACAAGTTCAGCATCTTGTAAACTCATTTAAGAAGCAATTCAAGGCCCAAAATATCCTCAATTAAAATTTCAAGTACAGTAATTCTTTGCTTTTGCCCCCACCCCAGAAAAAAGGCTTTATTGTTTCCCTTATTGAAAAACCTCCCCAACTAAAATTCCCCTCTTGCTGGTCCCTATTGTAACTAACATAACCTGACCTAAAATAACTTTACCTAACCGCCTCCCACAATCAGTTTCAGCAGAATGCGGAAAAATAAAATTCAGTTTCTGGTAGGTGCATAGAAAGTAGGTACTATTGAGATAACAGGAAAGTACCAGAGGTTGTAAAGGTCTTGTAAAAAAAGTAAAGTTAGATCCCAACATGCGGAAAGTTCATTTATTTTTCAATAAAAAAGGTTTAAAAAGAGCCTGACATATGGACATTGGCTTGACATGAGGACATTGCATGATGAAATTGCAAAAAAATTTCAGGAAAATTGACTTTTATTAGGGTTATTTGTGAGATACAGAAATTTCTGAACCTTATAGATATTTACAAGAAAAATTATTAGGTATTTCTCACTTCATTTTCCCATCCATTCAGCTAATTTAAAAAATAACCCATAGCTCAGAGGGACTTACTTCTCTCTTTGTGACTTGAATGTTATTTTTACAGATGTCAACATTTCAATTTACTGTACAGAGGTACACTATTCAGTGCTCCAAATGTTTCTATTGAGTTGACAAGATATTGACAGAATCTAATTTGAATGGTAAAAATAATTTCATGGAATTCAAAAGAATATTTCTTCCATAAAACACCAATTAAAAATTATGTTATGTATATGCCTATGGAAAAATGAGACTCAACTCAGGGACATTTTGACTTTGGGACACTCTTGATGCACCAATTATGTCTGCATCTGGGGGTCTCACTGCCTGAAAAGGGGCAGTGCTTATGTATTCTTTGTGTGACCCCACAACTGGTGCATACTGGGGTCACAACTGGTGTACATGGGTTATTCTGGGGTTACAATCATGTAAGATAGAATTTTGCTCCCATTCCAGGGCTACATTTGGTGCAAAATGTGATATAACAGGAGTACCACACAAATGCACCAACATTGGTGTAACTCATATGCTTAAAAATGTGACCCTGAGTAATCCTGGTGTGAACACACAATTGGTGCTCATTACAGGGATATATACATTTGCAAAAGAAGAACTTTGGTACACTTCAGGTGCACAGCAGGGCCACTGTGTAGAATTACCAACATATCCTCAGTGTGCACTTATTTCCCCACTTGTGGCAGCATATGCAGGTTGCTGGAATTGAAGAACATGAAATAATTGATGCTTGGACCTATTGTCCTTGAAAATTCAGGCTGTTGGAATAAACCCTTCAGTGGCACACAGTTATTTATTTATTTACATCCCATGGCAGTGCTGAGATATTTTGGCAGGCTAGCATGTTTTATTGCCTGAGTGGGGAAATTGGTGCACACTGGGAATATGTCTGTAATTCTACAGTGACCCTGCTGTGCACCTGAAATATACCCAAGCTCTTCTTTTGCAAATGTATATCCCCAATGAGCACCAATTATGTGTTCACACCAGATTACTCAGGGTCACATATGTAAACAAATAAGTTACCTTAAGGTTACAGTTGGTGCATTTGGGTGATACTCCTGATAACATATGATATGTCACATTTGTGCACCAAATGTAGCCCTGGAATGTTAGCAACATTTAATCTACAAAGAGGCATATGCTTGTAACCCCAGAATAGCCCATATGTACACCTTTAGTTGTGACCCCAGTATGCACCAGTTTTGATGCGGTACTACAAAAATAATGTATAGCTCCCCACTTGGGCAGATAATTAAATATTCACAGATTAGCCCAAGGGAAGGAAAATTGCTGATCAAATCTGCCAGCAGACCACAGTACTGTATAGCATTTTCTATATGGTTCCTATAAGTTCGTTAAATCAAGATTTTACTGTAACCGTATATCAGCAGCATATTCTTAGCTGTAACTCACAGGGGTATCGTAGGCCAGTCCATACTGCAAGCGCTCCGTGCGTCGCTTCTCCATGCCGTAGACAGCAGCGACACCTGCACTCACTCCGCTCGCCTGGCTACCCACCACCACGCCGCCCGACAGCGTCTTGGCGCGGAACACGTCCGTCTCCAGCGTCGCAGCCACGTAGTCGTGGGCAAAGGACAGCTTGGACGCCAGGTTATAGTCTCCCGTCGTCGGGGCAAACAGCGTCGTCACGCCGAACCCGAGGCCCTGCGTGCCCAGCACGTCCGAGCCCGACAACTCGCTCACGACCTCGTTGCTCGAGCTCCACTTTTGCACATAAGCCAGGCGCTGGGACGGATACGAGAAGCGGAGTTCCGACCCGCCGCCGATGCGCCCATCGGCCAGCGAGTGGGCCACCGAGGAGCCAAACACGAGGCCGGATTTCGGGGCAGCTGAGCGAAAGGACAGGGAGATGGAGCCTATGTTGAAGCCGCGAGCGAAGAGGCCGCGGGGCTGCTTGCCGAGGTCGGCGAAGAAAGGAGGCGACATCTGTACACCCCGGGGAGAGTCGAGTGGAGAGAAAGAGTCGGCGCGTGAAGGCTAGATGGAGAGACGGGGAGTGCGTGCTTGTGCTTGGGCGTTGCACTGCTGGTGGTGGTGTTGTTGTTAGTTCATCAGCAGCTAACTTGACATCTGCTGCTGCTGACCTACCACATCAAGGTTGACCTGTTCTGATGATGGAGGCATTATGATGTATATACACCCAGCAGGAAGAGTTGAAAGAGCAGAGAAAAGAGTGAAAGCAGGAGGTTGATGAGGAAATGTGAAGGTCACTGTAAAGGGCAAGGATTTATAGCTATGGAATAAGTCCTGGTTCAAGTGGGAAGACAGTAGAAAAATCTGCTGAAGCCTGATCATGATGAAAATTCCTTAACTTCTATGGTTTTTTTTCTTGTTTATGCTTATTCTGGGCAGCAATATGTTTGATACTATCTGCTGTATGGTTACAAGCAAATAATAAACCAATACATGGAGTGATCCTGAATTATGTAAATGGTGAATGTGATATGGCTTTGTGTAGTCTGTGCTATGAATAAATCAAAATAATAATCACCAGTTCAGCCATATACTGCCCAGTGCTGTTTGCCTGGGGTGTATGTCATCAATTATTTTCTGTGTCCTGATTAATGCCAAAAATAGTTTTCAAATGTGCATGTTGCAATTGTTTGCCTCTACCTCTGCTTAGCAGCCAGTTGCTTCAGAATGCATGTCATTATTTGTCTACATAGACACCAGTTATGTACCTTTTGACAATCCTGGTTTTACTTTTACTGTCTGCACATGGTCATGAACTGTCTGTGCACACCCAACTAGATAAAAGGGCTTGCAAACACTCTTCTTCAACTCTTTGTCAGTTATTTGAAGTTGCTTAGAACAGTGTTGAGAGAAATACAGTAACTAATTGTCCTTTGTTTAAGAGGAGTTTGTTTCATTTCATGCACCCTGGCCATAAGAGCACAAAATCTCCTCTTTGAATAATGAATGTCCAGTATTATTCAATGCAAAATATGGGACTTATGCAAATAGAAAGATGTCCAAAAGGGAGAGTAATTTTTTTTTCAAGTACTGTATCACTTACTGCTGACAACAAAGGGCAACAATGTACTGAAGTAATTGTACAAAAGATCAGTTATACCATGCAGAGTTTCTTTGCCATACTATTCCAAACTTTGAAGCCAGGCCTGAGTTGAGTGCAAAAAATATAAAATGAGGCCCACAGTTTGGATGTAATAGAAATATCAGATCCTCTGCATGTTAATTTGGATCATTTTTTTCCTGTAGACTTGAGTGCTGGGGGAATTTGAATTTTTCTCAGTGGCAAAAAAGGAGAACATCCTCTGAAAAATTATATAGAAAATATTTTTCTCAACTTTGAAACGCAGAAAATAGCTGTGTAAGCCACGCCGAATTTGCCAATTCGGCATGAAAAGAAGTCCAATATGAAAGAGAAAAGCACACGTCACCGACAAATATTGCAGATATATGGAAAGAAAAACCTTGCTGAGAAAA